AAGAGGTCTGTGCAATTTCATCTGGACACGTCTGCATGCTCAGCCGACTCTGGGCATAGCCTTCTCCAGCAGAGAAGTGGAAGAGCTTCTTTGGGACCCCATGAAATGTTGGTTTCACCCCTAAGCCAGCCAGACACAGTGCCACTTTCTGCTAGTAAAAACACTGGTTTCAGAAACATGGTCAGTTTGAAAAGCCTCATTTCACATGGCAACTGCCAAGTTGGAAGTGATTTTCAGTTCCTAACAATCTCTGCCTCGTTTGCAAGGCTCTCTCCCTTAGCCATTTCTGTGAGCCATCCATAACAACGCTCCTGACTCTTGCTTTCCATTCAAAACAAGGAACCTTTGCAAGGAATCTCGCGTGCCTTACGCAACCCTGTGTGGTTATAAGTCTTGTGACTATGAGCTACTCTGGCCAGGAGCCACTCACCTCTTATTAATCACAAGCAGCATAAATCTGACCAGCCGCCTCCAGCTCCTGCTATGCTGCTCTCTCTTTCTATGCTGCATGTGACACTGTGTGCAGCTCTACCAAAGGTTGAGCAATGGAAGAGGCTTGATTAATTGTACAAGGAAAGGCAGTAAATAGATTTGCAGTAAATAGATTTGTAAATAGATCGTTCTGTATTGGAAGGGTGTGGAAGCAGATAAAGGGATTTTGTTTTTCTCCTCTGAGAAGGAACAGTGAGTCTTTCAGGTCTCCAGCTAAGTGTTATGCTTGTGTGGACTATATCTTCTCCCTGGGTTTTAGATTTTTTTTCATTCACTCACTCAATTCCTTTCCGCCCCCTCCTGCTTTCATCTTTTGGCTCCTGTTTCTATTTGCTTGGCCCTGTTGTCATTCCTTCTGCAGCTAGCAGTCATTTGATGAAATTGGTCTGAGGGCCCCGGAGCCCATTAACTAATCGCATGCTGTCAGCTGGCGTTCTCGTCCATCCTGCCCCAGCTAGCGCTCACCACTTCACCTTCCACCCAGTCAGTCGTCCTTCAGCTAATGCAGCAGCTCAGAGCCGGAAAGAGACACAAGGAAAAGATGAGCTTGCAAGGACGTTGGATGGGGGTGTATTGCAGGGTTAGCAGCTGCTGGGGTGCTGTGGGGCCTGGGGGCTGCCTGTGTTTGAGCCTTCAAGCTCTGCACAAGAGGGTGATGAGCTGCTCTGAGAATGGAGGCACCTGTTGAACCAGGCTGTAGCTGAGGCACTGTCACACATGGTAGGTCGAAGGGCTACCCCCACTGCCCAGCTTTAGTCTTGTACCCATTGTCATGACCCGTACTTTTGTCTTGTAGATTGAGCCAGATGCTTGCCTGAAATCAGGCAGGGTGAAGGCTGTAGCCAGAACAAGGAGCAAATTCGGATGTGGAGGCCCCCCCAGGGCACGCTTGGGGCACCCTGAGTGTCAGCCCTCAGAATGGTGCACCTTGGTATGGTCCGCTATGTTTGAAGCTGTTGCTCCTTGTGCTCTGCACATGTCCAGATCCCTGCCCTGCCCCATGGATTGTGTCTCCCTGGTCAGTGTCCAGCAGAACTAACCAGAAAAGGAGAAGAGAGGCACCAGCCCAAAATATAATCCCACAGGAGCACATTCGTCACGGAGTCCATGCTTGGATACTTCCTGCAGGGTCTTGTGGGACTGCTGAGCTGCTGCTGCCTGCGAGGGGAGCTCACTGCGGTTGCTTTGTGTTTGTGAGCAGTGTTTGGCCATCGCAGCACTGCAGGGGTGAGCCGGAGATATGCCATTGAATCTGATAGTGGGTCGTGTCCCCTCTGGCTGCCTGCTCCTCTCCCATGAGGAGAGGCGGGTTTGCAGGACCGAGCAGGAATTAGAGGGTGACTCTTGTCCATTTGCCTCCAGCAACAAAATGCCACAGTGTCTCAAGGACGTCTCTGTGGCGTTTCATATCCCAGCATGGATGCTCGAGGCGTATTTATTAGCTACAATTCCAAATGCTAATTAATAAAAGTCCTTGACTCTCTCCTCTGAGAGATTGGTGGGAGCCACTTCCCTAGCCCTGAGTGCTGACACGCTGCCAGCTTACCAATAATGATATGAGAACTGTGATAGACGGCTGGGCTTGATCAGATGTGATGGCGTGTCTGGGGTTTGGCCGGATGTCATCATTCATAAAGCAGATAAATACTTTTCTCCGGGAGTTTGAAAGGGAGCCAGGCCGTGAACAGAGTGAAAAAGGCAGCTTTTTATGCTGGGTGGCTGAAAGGCGGGAATGAGGGAGGAAAAAAGGACTGGTCAGCATGCTCGTTGCCAAGCCAAGCAGTCGTTCTAGCAGCACTGGGGCCGGCTGGCTTCCTGCTCCCCTTCCCCTCTACGTCCCTCGTCTGGGTGAGAGCCACAGCCCCTCGGCCTGGCAGCACGTGGCCTGTCCCAGGTCCTAGCAGCTCCTGTGGGAGCAGAGGCCGCCCTTTGGTGAGGGGCAGCGCCTTGGGGGCTGTCTTGTACGTGCCGTCTGTTTGCTTTTCCCTGTGGCATGGGTGGAGAGTGCGCCCAACTGGCATCACGCAGGGACCTGAAACCGCTTTCCAGAGTCGGGAGTCGCAGTAAACTGTAGTCTGTGGAGCTCTGTGTTTAACTGCAAAGGGTGAATTTAGTTCTTGGATTTGGCAGCGTTTGAGAGTGGAAGGAGGAGGTTGGACAGCCGTGCGTCTATCTCTGTGCTCCTCTGGCGTCCGTTTTCCTCGGGCTGGCGCTCTCATTCAGGGCTTTCCTTGTTCTTTCCTGCAGTTCAGTTTTCATCAGTGCCCTTCTGCCAATGTTGGGAGCACCAACAAAAACAAGTTGCAGCTGGTTTCCAGCGCTGTAAGCTGTAGATGTGAAGCTTTCTTCATTTTCTGGCCTGTTTTACAACCCCCTGTCCTCTTCTGGCACATGGAAAGGGAGACTGAGTGGAAAGGGACTGAACAGAGAGGGAAA